TTAAAGGATGCAGCCAAAAATAGGAGGGACAAGGAGAGGCACAAAACGAGCCTAACCCAACACTCCCAAGATAAGAATGCGTTTAGGATTGCCAGATCGGCTAATGCAATTATTAGCGTGGGAACACCCAGGCTGCCTACTTCCCCCACGGTTTTCTTGGACATGACACTGTTTTCTCTCCAATCAGCACTGACCATCACTGCCCTGATGGGTTGTGCCACTTCCTGTGGCTCTTGAATCTCTCTTTCCCATACTGCATGTTTTGTCTGGATTGTCCTGGGCACACATCCCCTCGTCCTGCCTCCTTCCTCTTCCCTAAGTGGGCACAGCATGGACCGGAGCCCCTGCTCTGCCCCCACCACACACACACACACAGAGGGAGGAGCTGGGGCCCTTGCCCTGACTGTTGTAGCCTTGTCCAGCATGGCTCCCTTCACGACGCCACTGAGGGGGCACATTTCTCCGACTCACAACCTCCAGCTACGGCCCGTTCCACAAGTCGGGCGGCGGATGCATCTTGTCTAAAGGATGGAAAACTGGATGGCTGCATCGTGCCAACTGCCTTGCCAGGCTGAGTCTGAACGCACAATAGGCAGCCTCCATCCCTTGGCCCTGCACAGTCAACAGGGTACTGATGCCCTTGATGCCCCACCAGCTTCCCAAGCGCTCACCCTCTGGGGTTGCCCCAGGCTTCTGTTAATGCCCCCCTTAGCCCTTGAAATTCTTAATACTTTTTTAACAAGAATCCAGAAAATTCTGTAGTAGAGCCTGCCAAGAAGTTAAAATAGCTTCAGACGTGAATAGCTCTGTGAGAGCACGGGTGCGCCAGCCCTTGACTCTCAGCCTCGCACGGTGTGGGTTATTTCTTGTTAACGTCTCCCCCTGCCCCATAAGCAGCCTCTGCATCATCAATGAGACGCCAATTAGATGGTTTCAAAAAACAAAGGTTGAGAATAGCGCCAGGTTTTTCCATATTCTGGCTGGAGTTTGCATGTGGAAGGGAAGGCAGGCGTGGCAACGTAACTACCCAGCTGGTTTTTGCACAGCCACCTGAGAACTCAGTAAACAATGAGGAACAATTTAAGGCTATCTGATCCTACAAATCGAGACCCAGTGCTCAGACCACTCTCCCACCTGCTCTGAAACCCACCCCGTCTGCAACCTGTTTTCAAACACTAGTTTGCAGTTTCATGCGCCTTATTGGAAAAAAAAAAAGAAGTGAACTATAAATAAGCCCAATGCGTGAGCCATAAGGGCTGGAGCTCCACCTGCAAGAGCAGCACCATCAGCACACAGCAGCCTCACCAAGGCGTGGCCATCTGCTGGACGCCGTGTCACCAGGGCTGGGCAGCCACGCTGTGCCTCGTGGCACCTGTGTCAGGCTGGGAACTGGCTAGTCACAGGTCCTATGGCAACTGACCCTGGGGGCTTTGGAGAAAAGCGGAGACCAGGAGAAGACAAGGGGCTGTGGAAGGCGCCTCTGCCAGGGTGATTCCCAGCAGCCACAGCAACAGACACCGGGCAGAAAGGCACATCCCAGGGGCTGGGCGGGACAGGAGGCCTGTCTGCAGTGAACTGTGACCAGGGTAACTAATGCTCTGGCCATCACTGCGTCTGTTAGGCCTTTGGCCTAGGGTGTCTTGCACTCTGTCCCAGGCCATTCAAAGCACTTGCCTAAGGCTGCCCTAGTCTCTGCTGGCATTTCAACCTTTACACTGCAGCCTTAACTCTCACCTTTGGTTGGCTTTCAAATGCGTTGAAAATAAGGGCTCCTAAGAGATTCTCGCCCCCCTCCCTTTTCTGGGAGACCCCAAGGAAGCACAGGAATCCTGAAGCAAACAGCCCAGACCCCAAGTCAAGGAGGTCACAGCAGATGTCCCCCAAAATCCTCAGGCAGCAGGGCACCTGTCCCAGGACTCCTCCAGCTCCTTTTGTGCTAAAGCGCCCTGGTGAGTGGGGGTTGGTCAGGGCAGGTGTATGGGACCCCAGGGCTGCTGATGGGGGCCCCACAGGAACTCTGGACAGACACGCCCTGCCCAGTACTTCCAGGCATCCCTTGGCTCCCGTCCTCAGCTCTCTGCAGCCTCACTTCATTGCCCTAAGGCTTCTTGGGGTGAAAGGTCCGGGGTGCCCACTCTCACTGTAGCCAACATCACCCCCTACAGTTAACTGGTGACCATGGGGAAAGGACATGGCACACCCTCCCCGTCTTCTGCCCACCACCTTTGTCCAAACAGGATGTCCACTTCATTGCCTCCCAGTCGCCTTTCCTGGCTAAGCTGCTGCTAACCCTGTGACCAGCTCAGGCTCCCTCATGCTGCCTTGCCATTGTATTACTCCAATGCCAGAAGTTAGTGCACAGCACTGTCCCACTCCTCTCCCTCCTAAGCCACCTGTGCATCTTCCTCCCTTACAAACATGCCCGGGAGGGCAGTGTTGTCACCTGCCCACAGTGAGGGATCCACCAGAACAGGAAGCCAAGCCCCCGGCTCGTTCTGAATGAGACCTGCTCTTCCCCGACTTGGCCTCAGTTAAGCCAGCAGCTGCCTGTCGACCTCTCCCAGAAGCCTGCCCCTTCCACACGCTTGATGTCCAGATGAGACAGGTGCTGCCTCTGCCCATGCCACTTGGGTCCCACATGCTCTGGATACTGCACCATTTGTTGCCCTCCTCAGACCCCGGGACCCAAGCCTTGGTGGGAAGTGTGCAGGTATACAGGCTCTCACAGCTGCTGACTACCCAGAAGTGACAAGCAAGGTCCCCATTATCTGCCACAATGTCAACTCCATTCCTCTGGTGACAGTAGACAGAAAAGTGTCTGAAGGGGAGACTTCTCAGCCTCCAGCCTCCCCCTGAGCTGCACCTGCCCCCACGACCACACTCACAGGCGTGAACAACATGCCCTCCAGCGGCCAGAGCCTGGCAGCAGCACGCTCTGTTCTAGGAACTCATCCTCCGTGGCTCCAGGCTTACCAGCCAGCTTCCTGTGGCCTGCTGCTAGTGACCTGTTTCAGAGCAGGTCACATAGTTCAGTAGCGAAGTAGAAACCATTGCTCCTGTTAGGATCCTGTACCTCTTCCCACCAGCACAGACTGGGGGCGGGAGGAGGGACACGGGTGAGGAACAGCTCAGTTCTCTAAGTCTGAACCACAAGGTGCTAGGTGTGCCCACATCTGCCTCCGGAAGGGTGTGTCCCTTGCCTGGGCATGCCAAGCCTTTGACCCACTGGCTGCTGAGCACCTGCTTTTCCCAGACACATATAAGGGAGCCCACAGCAGGTGCAACATGATCACACAGGCCCTGGGAAAGCCAACACTGGCCAGCACAAACGCTCCTGTAACTGATGACCACTTCCATTGGATTGTGGAGCTAGCCTGGCTGGCTCATTGTATGTGCACACCTTGTATTTACAGCTGCCAGATGAACCCCTCTGAGGTAGGAACGGAAGGCATATCTCAGTAAATCACCAACAGAGGAAGGGAAGAGGAGTGATCTCAAGCCTCGTTCTAGAACTAATTGTACTGAGAAATCTGAAAGCACGCTGCTCAGGGCAGTGACCACCCAGCAGACAGGGGGCCCTGGGGAAGGGCAGGAGCCATCCCCCAGCCTGTATCCTGAGGCAGTGATGCTTGAGCCGACCGACTCTCCAGGCATCCGGACGGACACACTTACATGGCAGCAAAGAAGATATGGGCAGGCCACTGAGCAGCAGCTGCAAATGCAGGAGACACCTGCTGGCGTCATCCCTGTTCAGGGTCCTGGAACAGCTTCCGGGGGTTGGGGAAAGTGGAGGGAATGCCCCTGGTTTAGGGGCCTCTCATATCTGCATATGTAGGACATGCGGTTTGGAATACATGGTTGTTTCCTGTGGCCTCCATCCCCCAAACGGGGGCCAGGCATAGTGTGTCCTTAGGAATTCTAGAGCAAGGGCCTATTTGATGACACAGTGGGTCCTTGTCCACCCTTCGGCCCACACATGCTCCCTACCAGAAGCTGGGGATGAGGCTAGCAAATGACTGAGTTAGGATCCCCAGCCTCCTTGAGGGTGGATGCTGCTGGCCTGCCTGGGTGTCCTGTCCTGGGAGTGGAGGGTGACCGCAGCACTTCAGTCAGGAGATTGTCCAGCCCTGTCCAGTTCTTCCCACCTGAAGCTCTAATTCTCCTTGCTAAATTCCTTGGATTGGACTAAAGGGGCAGAAATTACCTGGCAAAACAATGACCCAGCTACAACCCACTCCTAAAGAGCCCTGCTGAGTCCAGAGCCAAGCACGGGCTAGAGTGCCACCTGGACAGACATGTTTATCCATCGAATCAGGCATGCTTCAACCCAAATGTGCAGGGCTGAGCCAAGAACGTGATAACCCAAGGGAGGGTTCGGGGGTGAGGAAAATCAAGAGATTCTAGAAAACCCAAACAGTTTGAGAAGGCCCCTCCTGCCCCTGCAGCCATGTGGCTCTGTCCAGAGTGGGCCCAGCTGACCCTCATGCCCAGCCTGCCTGCACAACAACAGGGAAACACACACCTGAACCCCACCTCTTACAAGCACAGCCCCCTCCTTGTGGGCAGCCGCACTCTCTGCCCGCCCCATACCACCCATGCCGATTGCCAGCTCACACACCTCTCAGGTTCCTCCGCAGAGGCAGCCCTTCCCCCTAGCTCTCTGGAGAGTGCTGTGCACGCAGAGCCCACGTTGGCAAACCCAACCCTGCAGAGGCTTGCCGCCTGTCTACACTGTCAAACCCAACCCTGCAGAGGCTCGCCTGTCTACACTGTCAAACCCAACCCTGCAGAGGCTCGCCTGTCTACACTGTTGGCACAGAGGTGTTCCCCAGGCTCCTGCTATCAAAGTGCAGGAGGCGCATTGGTCAATGTCTTTGCGATGGCAGCAGGGCCCTCAGCCAGGCTCTGCTTGCAGGACTGAGACTCAGCCTCCCAGGTCAACAGGCTAGGCCACAGGCTGTGCCACGGGCAATGCCACGGGCTATACCACAGACTGTGCCATGGGCTATGCCACAGGCTATACCACAGGCTGTGCCACGGGCTATACCACAGGCTGTGCCACGGGCAATGCCACGGGCTATACCACAGACTGTGCCACGGGCTATACCACAGGCTGTGCCACAGGCTATGCGATGGGCTATGCCACGGGCTATACCACAGGCTGTGCCACAGGCTACGCGATGGGCTATACCACAGGCTGTGCCATGGGCTATGCGATGGGCTATACCACAGGCTGTGCCACGGGCTATGCCACGGGCTATACCACAGGCTGTGCCACGGGTTATGCCATGGGCTATGCCACAGGCTGTGCCACGGGCTACGCGATGGGCTATACCACAGGCTGTGCCACGGGCTACGCGATGGGCTATGCCATAAGCTATGCCATGGGCTATGCCACAGGCTATGCCACAGGCCTGGGCCTGCTCCGGGCAAGCAATCCCTCCTACAATAGCTAAGTGCCACGATCTGAATGCCTCACCCCATCTGCAGAGTGGGCTCAGCTGGACAGGACAGCTCTGCTGCCTGCATTGCATCCCCACTCCATCCTCCACCTGCCACTCACCTCTGGAATCACTGCTTCTGGACGCTGGGGGAGACGAGAGGGGCCCAGGCTCAGAGGCAGTCAGGAGCAGTTGCTCACCTGCCCCCAAAGCCAACCAACCCACTGAAGTGGATGTCTTTCACACCAAGAACATGGGCCAACCAGTGACTCCCACGCCACCCAGGGCCCCAAGAGCAGCTGTGCTCCCAGGTTCCTGTATGGGCCTGTGAGGGGCCTTCCTTACTCCCTGACTTAAAGCACTGGTGAGAGAGAGACAGAGAGGATGAGTCTACGCTCTGGGCACTCGCTGGGTTATCGTCCTGGAATGTGAGATCCCTGAAGGAGGAAGCCACGCACAGATGCCTTGCAGGGAAGCCGCTTCCACGCAGTCCTGCAGCAACATGCACCCAGGGACCCTCGCCCGCCGTGGCTCTCTGAGGCCGTCATGGGGTTCCAGGCTCCTGGCGCCTCAACCTTCCTCCAGCAGGGCCCTTCTTGAGGGCCTAAAGTTTCACACCTGACTTGGCCTGCGAACCCAAGCCAAGTCTCAGCCAGGTTCCCAGCAGCCACGGCCAGTCCCTGCCGCAGACACCTGCCAAGAGCCTTTCCCTTTTGACTGGTGCGGAGCTGGTTTTGCTGGCAGAGAGGGAGGAGCTCTCCTGGGAGGTGACACCAGGCGACGTCCCTCGTCTCCCGTCAGTGCAGCCCAGGAGCTCCTCGGCTGCTTTGTCAGGAGCATTTAGAGTGAGCTTTGAATGATGCACTCTGACACCTAGCCTCGCGAGAAGCGGGCACCCACTTAGCTCCCGCTCTGTAATTGCCCTTAAGTGCTGCCTCTTAGGCCACGGGCGGGTGGCCTCCACGCCACCAGAGCAGGGCTTTCCCCCAGGCTCATTTCCTCAGGTTCCCATTCAGGCAGAGGATTTCAGTGGGGTTAGGAGTCCCTGGGGACCCACCAATCGATCCTTCCACATCAAAGGCTTCTGTCTCCACCTGGCCCTGCACACACACACCCTCTCTAATCCCAGCCTGGCCGTCCCAGGCCTCCCAGCCGGGCCTTGTTGCAGGAAAACATCCCCTGAGGACCCTCGCTAAAGAAGATGGACTCCTGCCCGTTCCTCGGGATGTAAGACGAAAGATCAGACCTCAGGAGTGCCACTCAGCCATGCTACAGACCACAGCCACTGATGCCAGATGACCAGGACAGCCTGCCACTGCACCTCCAGAACCACTGGCAGGAGCCAGGCTGTTGTGCCAAAGAAAATCACCAAGCATGCAGGAGAAATGAGCGGTGGGGAAGTGTCCTGTCCACCCAAGGCGAGGAGGCTGTGTGGTTCCTCCGCCTGCATCCCAGACTCTCATAGAGCTTCTTGTTCAGGCAGGAGGAACAGGCAGGAACAGGACAGGAGCCAGAGAGAGCAGGTGCAGGGGCACACAAGGCAAGTCCGTCCCGTGACTCTCGCTGTCCCTCGTCCACCACCTGACCGAGGGAGAAGGGGAGGTGGCGAGTCATGCAGCGCGTGGGGGAAGGCCAGCGGCCTCACACACCCACCTCTTGGGCAAGTTGCCATGTCCTCGTGGAGTCAGGCAGCAGAGAGCATCCCCCCGAGTCCCTGATGGCCTGGGGGCAATGGCAGTGGCCATGATTTCTTCTGGAGAAGAACCCACGCATCTTGGTCAGCACGGGAATGACACAGAGCACTTGGGCACCTTCCTGCTTTGCCGTAATTCATACATCTGGGAGCAGGAAATAGCTCCTGCTTGCTTGGGAGACTCCACGCTTCCCAGGACAACAAGCCTGCGTGGGAACAAGGCCTTCCCGGCTGAATCGAGGCTAGATAGTTAATTGCCTTGTAAACTGTTTTCTGAAGCGTGGAGCCTAGAATGCGCTTAACTGCCCTGTTCATCATTTACTCATCAACCCGATGGAAAGGTGATACAGGACTGTCACCGCGAAACACCCTGGAAACCCACGTGATGCTGAAAGGCTCCTGTTCTGTTTTCCATGAAGCAGATGATCAGAGCTGGACTTTGTGTGTCCCAAGCCTGGAACGATAAACCAGCCGGCCTTTCACACATTCTCCTTGGAATTGTTTAAGAGAAAGCAAAGGATGTCTTGGATTGGTCCTACCCCTGAGGAGCCCTTTACCTAATTAACTCCCATAAAACCACTGTGAGTTAGGTGAAATGAGTGAGAAGTCAGGCCTAATTCACTAGAAGCCAAGGGACCACATCTCAAAACCCTCTCTCCCAGACGGGATCAGCTGCCGGTCTCCGCTGAGCGCCTCCTCGCTGAATGGGCCGAGCCGGGGCCATTCCGCCCCCACCTCGAGCGCACCCTCAGCTCCAGCGTGCCCCCTTGGCATCGTCACCATCCCTGCACTGATTTGTTTTCATGTTTGTCTCCACTTTGGTATCCTGCGGCCCAGTGCCACATCAGGACAGAGCCCCCAGGTCCCCTGTGAGTGAGCAGCGGTCATCTGCTGTCGGAGCACCTGACTCCCCCATTTCACATCTTCCTGTACGCTGACACCCACACCCCACACCTCTGAAGTGCTTCACGTGCACACAGCACAGCCATTTACGCTCAGCAGCAGAGAAAGGAGCGTGGTGCAATCCCACACCATTTGCGATGCTCGTCTGTGTCTTCCGTACTCAGAGCCCAAGTCGGATCCCAGACAGAACCAATGCTTCCCTGGCACTCTGGCCGGTACCTGGTGATCACCACCAACACGATGTGCAGCTCCCACAGCGCCCAGCTCAGCAGTGCACGGACCCACACAGGATCTACAAAACAGCCATGCACGACAAAGCAAGTACCAGGCAGCGGTTCGGAGTGGACTGGGAGAGAAACCCCCGGAAGTGCAGAGTCACGGCGCGGTCCTCCAGGCTGCACCTTCCAGGAGGAGATGGAACCAAGCAAAGTCCAAAGGTCTCCGGTATTGCTGCCAAGACACCAAGACCTCCTCCAGCAGAACTTCGCAAAACGGCACAGCTCTCGCTCAGAGAGCAACGACGCCTGCGTGGGCAGACCCAGCCACTCTCCAGGTCCTGTGGCCCAGCCCTCCAGGAGCGAGCTCTACCCCAGCCCCTACAAGGACTATTGGGAACATGGAAGTGGGAGGGATTCCACACCAAGGACAAGCTCGAAAGTACACAACAACTAGCGATGGTCGGAACAACTGGCTTATATCTCCACCACGCACCTGGTGACGCTGTGGGTAAGGTGTCTGTCGTCCAGGTCCAGTATGGGCCACAGCACTCGGCCAACAGCAACCTGTAACTGAAGAGCAAGACCCTAAGGAAAGGAAGTGGCACCCAAGTCCAAAGTTACAGTGCACAAACAGGGAACCCAATTGATACCCCTGCACACACACACACACACACACACTCTTTCTCTCTCTCTCTTCTGTTGATTCTTCCATTTAAAATTATCACCAAGCACACAGATGGACACAAAGGCACACTGCCCAGAACCCTCTTTGAGAAAGGCCTGGAGGAATGAGATCAGCTGCCTACAGCTAACTCATGCCCATCTGCTTCTGCCTTGAGGCCAAGGTCAAGTTCGACTGGGGTTGGCCTGCAACCACTTGCTGAGCAACGGAGTGGTGGTTGGAGTCCCACCGTTTCCGGGATGGTCCCAGACAATGACGAAGGCTGTGACTGCCGGGTAGGCATCCCCTCACTGTAAGCTACTCTGGGGACTTCTTTGCTCTCTCCACGGGGCCACACTGACGCCAGGACTACGTCCCACAGCCACAGCTCCCTGCCCCGTGCAGTTCGGCTGCATCAGACACCTCCCGCCAGTGGCTCTCACTCACTCCGGGCTCTGCCTGACTTCCTTCCGTGGACTGCTGAGTCAGGAACACACTCCGGGGCTACAGCCCCCTTTCCAAGGCCGCATTTCACTCTTGAGCCCAGCTAGACTTGGCTAAGAGCTCATGAGCTGGGCCAGCGTGGGCCCAAATGCTGTATGGCACAGTGGCCATGATGGACACGTCCCTCTGCAAGGTTGCCCTTAATGCAGTGCCTTGGTTTCATGGAACACTTAGCATCTCGGGAGGTGGCAGAGGCGGACACTCCACTCTAGTGTCCCAAGCCACACTCCTCCAAAGGGCAGGAAGGACAGTGCACGACTAGAGCTCAGGACTGAAATGCAGTGGGAAAAAATGTGCATTTTTTATTTTTTAGAGGCCCATAATGTTCAATAAACATATCAGTTGGGAAGGATTTTCCCTGTCCAAACCATCAATTTCTCCAGAAAATTAAAATTCACACGTGTTTCTTACCATCTCAGCAACCACCTCAAAACCACTAAGCTAGGGAGGAAAAGCCACAGGTGAGTGAGTTAGGGACAGAGAAGAAACAAGATGAGGGACCCAGAACTCCTCCACCTGAACGGAAGCACAGTGAGCGCTTCCGCGGGTTTCTCCTCCAGCAGTCAGAGGTAACAACTCCAGCAGCACTTGAAAGCCTTCCCCAACCCCTGGCTCCAGTACACCCACGGCCAAGGTCTGTGCCATTCCTCGCTCAGCCAGCCAGGCCTGTTTCTCAGCCCCCATCAACTGCCCTTGCATCTCTGTGGATTCACGCACGCTTGCCCCACTTCTCCCTCATCCTGGCCCGGCTCCCGTGCTGGTCCTCCTCCCCCAGCTGCTGCTGTCAGTGCACACCGTGGTCAGCTCCTCAGGCCGTCAGCCTCGGCTCATTCCCACGGCAGACCGGCATCCTTGGCACATCCTTTCCTTCCTCTTCCTGCACTTCACCCCACCCCTGCTTCTTCACTCCGGCCTGTAAAATATGTTTACGTCTCTCACATGACCACGGTGTCCCCACTGTGACAATGGCCCTCCCTTCCCAGCTGAGCTCTGCTTCCCCTGAAAGTGGCATGTGTCTGTCATGGACTTCCTTTCC